CGTATATGTACGTACTTTAATATACCTACTATATATATATATATACTTAATGAGCTAAAACATAATAAGTGCGTGTGTACACTGTAGCAATCCTCTGGCACAATTAAATGTATGAGCACTCAACATCGACGTAACGTACATCAACTCGGGAAAAAAAACCCCATGTTTGTTGATAGTTGAACGCAATGCATATTGTGACCGAAAGCTCACTATAAATTTAATCGATTTATGGTCTTATCATGTATTTTGAGAGCGCCGTGTGAATGGCAATTCACATTTAGAAATACAAAGATAATATCTACAAAACACCACAATGGACATGTACTTAAGACCAGAATTGGTCATTATAATATACATACCAACTCCTGGTTGCTTTCTGCACATGATCAAGTCTGGGTTATGCTTCGCCATCACGTCTTATTGTGGTGTGGATGTATGTTCACTATGTTGTGTGTAAACTGTAACGTGTATTGCGTCCTTATACGCATACTAAGATCAAATACACGACACGAGAAACAGGTGATATTCTCGCGCGCGTAACTAAAACAGTACGATGCGGTTTGCAAACGAGAACGTAAACGCTTATTGTTACGTTTTAAAATGTAAAAATGCTTTCTCGAGATTTGCACACAGTATTTACTATATTTTAAAAATATCGATTTTTTTAACGCAAACGATTTTCTTTAAAAACGGTTTTAACGAGAAACCAACCGAGGTTAAATATTAAATAGTAGGGCGAGTGGGGTTCGGGGATCCGGCCTGTTCGATGTTCGGTACTTGGAACGGTGTCAGAAGTTCAGAACCTCAGGAGTCAGAGGTTTGTTTACGTAATGATTTTGCAATCATTGATTATGTTTGTCTACCGTCTACCGCCTTTTTGCCTATCTGCCTATAGTGTGAACTGATTTATATACAACATTGTTTTACTTGTACATATTGGGTATAAGTTATAAACAGTTCAGCACAGGTGTATTGTATGTAGATACATAGCCGGTTGTATACATACAGACATACATAGTTTGTTTCAAACCTATAAATTAATATAGAGCAGTACAATATGGGTAAAGATTATCTAGGCAAAGATCAGCGTGCTGTGCGTCCTGACGATGATAAGCCGGTTAAAGAGATTGTTGCACTAGATGACGGGGATATAGCACTGTTGAAAACGTACGGCATTGGGCCCTACACAAAGGCTGTGAAGCAGGTAAGAGGATCGATAGTAGTTTTGATTTGGTAGAATAGAGATTTGTTGCTTCGCCTTGATTATTCAGAATTATATGTTTGTAAGGTAACCGAAGTACCTGTAAAAATATGTTTGTGCAAGTTCGATTTTTCAACAATCACATTCGAATCGAAGTGCAAGAAATTCTACATATTCTTCGGTGTGTGTTATTATACCTCTTCTGCTTTCACCAACAATATGTTTACTGTGATTCGAAAATCAGTTCGAGATATAACACCTCCAAATAGCTCACATATGTTGGTGCCGCCACTGGTCATTCTTCATATATTTCATTATATTCATATATATATATA